CAAAAAAAGAAAAAAGAAAATTTGCCCAAAGCATCTCAGTGGTCTACTTAAGCCATGTCAGGAACTCTGTGTCTGCCTCAAGTCTTAGACTAAGAGAGAACTAGTTCACACCATCTCAGAATTGATCATTCCATGCCATGGTGGATTTGGGGTGGAATAGAAATAAAGAATTGTACTCTTAGTTGGCATGTATGAGTAGGGATACCTTGTCCTTTTGCCTGACTTTTCTCAGTCCAGTAGGTTAAGTATTTACCACCATAGTAGGTTTTCAATAAGCACCAGACTAGTTTGACCTTATCACTACTATAAAGTCCTGAGGTGATGAGCCAGTGAGAACATGGGCCACCTCTGTTCAGGGAACCCTCCGGTCTTCTTGCTTCCCCTTTCAGCACCCTAAAGTGGCTTCCAATGCTTGCTCATCAATCACACACTTCTCTGCCTATCTTTACAGTTTCTTGAAATACTGCCTCCTCCCTCCCTTTCATTTCTATCTTCCTCTGCTTCTCACCTCCCACACTCCTCCTGCAGTCCAGCGATGCATACTTACTACTTAGCTCAGGCCAGGAGCCTCTAACCATTGTAAGATATTGGGTTTGTTCCTCTTCCTACAAGCAGTCCTTCCTGCCAGTCTAGCCCACATTGCTCTCCCCTTCTCTGAATTCTTAAGTCACCCGCAATCAAGAGCATACCATTTAGCAGTAGACTATTCTGAGTGTTTCAACTGTGCTAGTCTTCACTCAATTCACTTACAAGCTTCCTGAAGCCAGGCACTGTCTCTGGCTTCCTCTCTTGAATGGGATGGAGGTTTTATTAGAAGGATGGCACATAGTCCAGTGCAACACAAGCAAGCAGACCCTGTTAATTTAAGAAAAAAACAAAAACCCACCAACACTGTTGAAGATTAACAAAAGCACTAATGATGTTTAGGACAATGAGCTTGAGAGCTGCAGGGTCATCTGTTCGTGAAAGGCAAAGTGCATTATCCTGTAGCAGGAGAGGTGGGAATGGTTCCCAGCAATTGGAGGGACCCCCACTAAGTTCATCTTGACAGCAGATGTGCTCCCTTTCATTATTGCAACCTAAAGATTAGGAACATTCAGGCATTAGCATGTTGAGAGGGTGAACTCTGAGCCAGTTACCTTTCTCTAAAAGACCCAGTTTCAGAACTTAAATTTGCTGACATTTTACCCTTAGGCCTTTAACTGATTTTAAAGATAAACCATGGTTGAGTGAAACAAAATAATTTTGCAACAGTCATTTTACCAAAGCAAACCCATTGAGACATAGAGCTTCTAGCTGATTACCCACTTCCAGCCTCCATCAGACATGAACTTATTGATCAGACGGGAAAAATGAATTGAAAACTAAGTGTTCATCCAAACTCCATTTCCTGCGTTATCTTGGGGTTATAGAAAATCTCAGCTACAGAATTATCACCAATAATCCATCTCACTAGATGGTCACTAGATCTTTTTAAGTGTCTTAAACTCAGCACTACAGTAATAATTTTAGCAATTTTTACAGTGTGTTTTCTTTTCTATAAAGACCAAAGATTTCAATGTGCATCTACAGATACCTATAGCTATTTCATAAGTATATGGCTATGGAAGGTCTTGCTGTTGATGTCAGTGATGCACTTGTACCATTTTCATTGGGAAGTTATGAATTCTTCATTCTTCAGTTATATAAACCTCATCATTCACTAAGAGAAATGGGCAAGTCGCTACCCGTACAATGTCAAGTCAGCTAGGTGTGGTGAACACAGGTAGTGAATAATGCCTTGTGTGCTCATCTCTTGATAACACATATCACATTACCTGGCATAAAGAGCTTAGTAAACATCTGGTGCATTATATATGCCAACCACTGTGCCAACATTGGGTTTTCAAGAAAAACATGATCATGAATCCTGCCCTCATACCATTCACAAGTTGGATGCAGAGACAGAGTTTGGACAAATAAACACAAAATAATATATAGTTCAGAATTTTGATAATTGACGTAAAGGATATGGTTATACTGGGAATAAATCAGCGACCCTGATTTAGATAAGCAGCCAGGAAGCTCCTCTCTGAAGAAATGACATTTATAACTGAACTCTGAAGGGTGAAACCAGATCATGAATAGGTGGTAAGCCTTCCAGATAAAGCTCATACAAATACCCAGAGATAAGGAGGGACTTAGTGTATCTAAGGAACAGGGAGAAAGCCACTGGGGCTAAAGTGCATCAGGGGAATGGCATGAGATGAGGGTGAAAAAGTAGGCAATCAGGAGTATAAAATATACTCTTAGTATTACGGGAAAGAACTAAAGCCTTAACAGCAGAGGAGTAAAGCTATCCGATTTATATTTTTTAAAAGAATGCTCTGTGTGCAGTATGGAGAATGGATTAGGAAAGGACAAGATTAAACATGTGGAAAGCAGGAGACTATTGCAGAAATTCAGAGGAAGGATGATGGCAGCTTGTTTTAGAATGGTGGTGGGGGAGATGAACAAAACTGCATGGAATCAAGAGATATTTTGGAAATGAAATCTAAGAGGACTTTGAGATGGACTGGATGTTGGAGAGTGAAGATGAGGAACCCAAGTTTGACTATCACATTTCCAATGAACAACTGATGGGTAGCAATGCTATTTATGGAGAATTGAGGAAGAGTGGTTTGGTGGAGGTGATATGGGGGGAACAAGTTTAGTTGGCTATGCCAATAAGACACTCAGAAGGATATCTATAGTAAGCTTTAATTAGCAATAGACCAGAGAGCTCAGAAAACAAGTATTAATCTAGGAGTCACCATATTGCTGCTACTTAAAGCCATGAAAAATGAAATCTTCCTACTGAGGCTACAGAGAATAAAAGGCAAATATAGGAAGGGGTATCAACAAAGAATGCTAAAAAGGAGTAACAGGAGAAGGAGGAGAAATGGAAGAATGTAGATGACAGAAAACAATAGAATAGAGAAACTGGCAAAGAGTAATGAATGATCCAGAAACGTCTAATAAAATGAGAATTTTAAATACTCATAAGATTTGGTGGTTAGTTTGATGGATTTGGGGCATGACAATCAGTGAAGAGATGTAGGATTAAAACAGATTGGAGCAGATTAAAGATGAACGAGATGTGAAAAAAATGAAAATAGCATGTGCAGACAACTCTTTCTAGAAATTGCTGTGAAAGAAGGAAGAGAAATAGGGAATTATGCTAAGTGAAAGAAGTCAGATTCAAAAGTTGCATTCTAGATGATTTCACTGGCATGACATTTTAAAAAAGGCAAAATTATAGGAACAGGAGACTGATCAGTGGCTGCTAGAGATGGGAGGTAGATAGAGAGGTTAACTACAAAGGGGGAACACAAGGAAATCTGGAGGGTGGTGGCACTATTCCGTATCTGCATTGTGCTAGTAGTTACACACTTGCCTTAACTCATAGACCTCTACATCAAAAAGTGGATTTTTCTGTATGTAAATTTTAAAAAGTGAATTAACACCACAACTCCTCCAAAAAAGCATATTAGTAATACCTTTCTCCAAATAAAAAGCAAAGAGAGACCACCTAAAGAGCTGTTGAAGTAATCAGAAGAAGAGTTGATCCAGATGGTTTCTATGTGGACCATAGGGAACCAAGAGGGAACAAAACAACTGAGAACCATTGCAGAGAACCCATAGGCAGGATTCACCAACTCTCTCAATATAAAAGCAGAGATCAATACACCACATCTTCAGAATTATAAACTCAGAAAGACATGATCTTTCACAATGATGATTCTATCAATGAGGATCCTTTAGGTTGCAAGCAACCACGACCAAACTAGTTAGATAAACCACACACAGTAAAGGGAAATGGGATTGGAAAGACATTGGAGGATTTCAGATAACTCAACAACAATGAGAAAAATACAAAGGAACAGTTCACCACTGCTGTGGCAGCCAGTTCCACCCAAGTTTCATCCAACTTAATGCAGGTGCAACTGAACAGCACCCAGCCTGGCCTTATATACCTTTCACTCCCTGCTTCTTCTTCACCACTGTCAGAGGTGCCCATCAGGAACTCACTGTGTACTCACAAATGTGCAAGCCAGAAGTGGGAAGTTAATCTCATGGGGTCACTTTTGACCAATAGGAAATAACAGCCTAGGGATAAATCCTTCCCCTCAATACTCTCCCCCACTCAAATCAATAGCTCTGACATCCATTTTGAAATCTCCTAAATCAAGTAGTTGGGATTAAGGACCAATCACCAGTAGTGGTTGCCAACTCAATAATTCATCCTTGTATTGATTAGCTTTCCTCCTTCCCTGTTTTACTTCCCCTGTCCTGAATACTGTGAACTCATGTTATCAAATATATTACCCACAGCCAGCCTTCATCTCAGGCTCTGCTTCCTGCAGAAGCCAGGCCAAGACAACCAGGCCTTGGAAAGAATCCATGGTAGGTCTGGAATTTTCAGCTGTACGAATTTATAACCATCTCGTGAAGGTGATGGCAGCAGACAACTTGGTTCTAACCAACCTCTTCCCAGGAGAGTACGATTGGCCCAGCTTAGGTCATCCTGGGGTCAAAGGACATGGAATCTCATGCTCTAATCCCAAGAGAGTCACTTGGAGCAGGGAAAGGGCAGTTCTCCAATGAGTATGACAAGCAGATAATGGAAATAGATAATTTAGGAAAATTTTGTTATCCAGTTGGAAGTTGCTTTTGAATCATATGAACTTAATCTTTTTTTAATATATGCATCATGGCATTCCCCCCCCCACACACACACACACACACTTGTGCCTAAACTGTAAATTTCTTTCCTCTAAAGAATAAATGGCTTACTAGACCATGGTTAGAAGCTTAAAATAGAAAAAAATAAAAAAGCATAATTCAGGTATATTATGGGCTTTTCTCGTAGGTTTTTCTAGTGGTTTAAAATTGATATTTTAGTTTGGAAAGTTCATACTCTAACAGTTGTTTAAATAGCCAGCTTCATTTTTCCTTACTCTCACTTTGTCTCTTTCTAGGTTAATATCCAACACAGGTATTAAGCACTTGCCAGCTGTTCACAAGATTCAGTCTCTCCAAAAGGTCGTACTGTAAGTTTTTCCCTGAATGGTTGCCAACTCTTTACTCAGTAGTTGTCTTGCTCAGCAGCCTTCTGAGCCTTTACATGCATTGTGTAGTCTACGTTCTCCAAATGTGTTGCTCTGGGTGAGTAGAGATAGGAAGGCAGGCGATAAGGTCCTTGGTTTGCCTGCAGACCAGCCAATCTCACTTTGGGGGACACCAACAGGCTCCTCAATAAGAGTATTATCCACAGAGCCAGCTTGTAGAAAAATGAGGAAGTCACTCCTTTTGTTCACTCTTTAGTGTGTATTTTACTGCCACCTTCAACTCCCCCTGTATCCCCCATCCTCTTCTGCTCCTTCCAGAATGCCTATGCTGCCCTAAGCATAAAGAAAACTAACTGTCAAACAAATTTGTACTAAAGTGTTAGTGACATGACGTGTTTGTCTTTTCCCAAGGTATGTGTATTTTGAAGCAGTAGAAAAGGCAATATATAATGGCAACTTTGTTTCCAATAGAGAAATTTATGAGAATATGACCAGACCCAAAAGGAAGAGTTGGGTAGGGGTGTAGGAGCTAAGGGAGAGAGGGAAGAGAGAGAGAAAAAAGATAGAGAATCTTCCAGAATTTCTCAAATTGTTCTAAGCCAGGTACTACATTACTTCTAGAGTCATTAATTCTACATTTATACATTAGATCAGACTAAAAAGGAAGTTTGGTGGAAGGATGAGAGAATACACAATGAAAAATGAGTCTTCATCCTTTCATTCAGAAAGAGAAAAATCAATGATAAAATTGTTCTGTGACCCAAGGGGAATAAAAGGAAGGAAACTGGCTGTAAGAAGGGGATTGAAATGGGAGGAAGAAGGAGGCCCAACTAAACTGAATAGAGAAGCTCTATATGGAGGTGAAAGGTCAGCTTAAGCACCTTTGGCATATTGAGTAGAGACCTACTGTGGAGACAAGGCTAATAAACGAGTTTGTTAGAGAGAAACTTACACAGTGAAATTAGCTTTAAAAAAACCTTTAGTGAGAGAAGACACTGCATGTCTGCAATTTCATTTTTAAGAAGAACTGACGTACCAAAGATAAATTAGAAGCTGTTTATTTCCCAAACTTTGAGCTCACGGTCCTCTGAACAATATCTGTTAAAACACTACCTCAGCTAAAGACCACATCATGCCGAGTAAACTAAATATGGAAAGGTTACATGGATTGCGCTGACATAAATATCTAATTTGTCTGTATTTTCTTCTAGAGACATTCAAGATAATATAAATATCCACACAGTTGAAAGAAATTCTTTCGTGGGGCTAAGTTTTGAAAGTGTTATTCTGTAAGTAAGAAAAAAATATCCAACAGAGTAACATTTGATTTTTCACTTAACGATCTCTTTCTCATAATAGGATGCTCCTTTTGTGTTTGGGTAACTCTGGCATTTCACCATTTAAATCACTCTCTGGTTCTGTGTTTTTTCTCATCTTTACATTTCAAAATCACAACATGGAGTCATGTTAATAATTTATGATTCTGTGGTGTGATTCAAGTATTTAAAATTGCTCTTTGAATGATGATCTCCTGTGATGCAACATCTGTTCCAAAGGACAGAATAACTAATGCATCAATAAAGCTAGTTATTGCCTGGCAAGACTTCTGTTGCCCAAAGAACAAGATCAGGAAGGAGGCTGAATCGGAAGATAAGGCCGTTTTCTCATAACCATGCCGAGCAGCTCCTGTTTAGGCCCATGCTGAGCATAAGACGACTTCTCGTTTTCTTAGAACAATCACATTTTTTAGTGAGCTTGAGTTACTCCCTCTGGCTTTTGGGAAAGTTTTTAAATACACTCTGCATCATTAATGAATGCCCTCTAATCTTTTGTGTCAGTAAGCAGCATGGCCATTTACCCACTCCCCAGGATGCCAAGTAACAGGGCGCGATGGGTTACCCTGGTGTTCGTGGGACCCATGAAAGTTGGATGCACAGAATGATATTTGGGGAACGAGTAACTGCAGTTACCTCTGTAAGAAAAGCATTTTATCTATTGTACAACTTGTTGTGTTTTTAAAAAGTATACCACTATGTATTTTTTAAATATGCCAATAGGTACAAAAGGTAAATCCCAGTCCAGAGAGAATTTTAGTCCTTTTTAAAACAATTATGAGTCAGAGACCCAGCTGTTAAAATGAGTGAAGGGAGAAACAGTACACAAAGATGATGACACATTGATAAGCAAAGCTAAGCATGTATTTGTGTAAATTAATCATTGAGAACAATGGAAAAGGTTTGAAAAAAGATTAGCACAGGAGTCGAATGTGTGAAGGAAAAGATAAAATTAAATCAAAGGCATGTATTCAGAGTATATAGTATTGGGACAAAAATTATAGGTGATTAATACCTAATCCTTTTACTTAAGCTCATGATATTTGGAGTGAGTGTGTGTGTGTGAGAAAGTGTGTGTGTGTATTGAGGTCAGGTGATGGGAGTGTGGAAATGGTGAGAGAAAAGGAAAACAAAAATAAATAAATAAACTCAAATACAAGCAGAATGAAATGTATGCAAAATTAAAGGATAAGCAATTATTCTCTGGGTAAAAAAGGACAATTTATTCTGACTAGCCTGGGTTGTGAGGGCTAAAGGAAGAGTTAAATAAGGGAAAGAAAGGTGAGAAAGAGAGGTTGTGTTTAAGATGAGCTTTAAAAGACGAAAGATGAGAGGTATTTAGCTAGAGAGGCAAAGGGCAAGCAGAGGAAGCACAACAATCAAGGCCATGAAGGTTAAAAAAGTAACAGCAATAATACAAGGAGATTTTGGAAAATGGTGAGTATCTGAGTAATACTGGCCTGCTGGTTGAAAAGAAACGCACAGTAAAAGGATTCCCCAACTATATCACGGAGGGAGGAGATTAACGATAAATGTAATCCATTGTCCCTGGATGTTCATGTTTCTTTAAATCTTGTTCAGAACCTGTGTCATTTTAAAATATAGTGACTTAAAATTAATGTTATAATGTGGCAAGATTATTAATAATAAAATACTTATTCTATAGAAAATATAGAATTAAGTGGGAATGTGCTGATATCATTCTCACAGTATTGCACAACGGCACACATCCTTTTGTCCAGACCCTAACACTGAAGACAAGGCATCTTAAGCTACTTAGTCTCAACCCTCCCCAAACGGAGGCTAAGAACCAAGGAAATAAGAACTTCTGACCCAAAGCTACACGAGTAATGTATAGCCACTGTCTGCTCTTCACTAACTTCTGTAAATGAACTCTGTGTGATTCCCCAGAATTTAGGAACACACTTTTCAAGAAAGAATAGCTTTCTTTTGAGTCGACGCTTCCCAGACATGTCTCTAAAGGGTAAATTCACATTTGTGAGAACAACATCTATTTTTCTTACCTCAGTTGTCCCTTAATCCATAGATAATAGAATCAGAAGGATTCATACTCAACGCAGCCTAAGTCTCCAGTTGTTCTTAGTTTGGGGGGTTTATCTGATGCATTTTCTCTCAGTAGGGACATCCAAGTGTACTCAGGGGGAAAGAAAGCATGGTTAAATGGCACTGATGACTGGAAAAGCCTTCTTCCAGCAGCATTTTTCAAACTTCTGAGGCTCTGTTTTAAATATAAACATAACTTAAAGAAAAAAACAATACAGCTCAACAATGAAGGATTATCAGACACTTGGCTAGTGACTCAGGCAAATGAGCAATAAAAGCCCATCACATGGGGGCTTCTGAGCAATTCCCCATCCCTGCTCTGCCCCTGCAAGCAGAGGATCTGCATGGGGAAAGCACCTAGCTATGGCCAGCCAGGAAAATGGTCTAATTCAGAAGAAATAAAATCAGGTTGCACAGATGACAGCCCCCAGTGTGCTCTGGCCTCTGGAGAGGCTTGCTGCCTGAGTCTCCTCCCACACCTGCCCCTCACCTCTCACTGAGTTTTAATGGGCCATGTCCTGCAGCCCTTCATTCTTTAGGATGAAGGCAGACTCTGTTGAGTGAGCACAGTGGCCTTGTCCCCAGTGACACAAAAGTGTTAAGGTAAGCCATGATGTTCTTATTCCTTACCTGATACTCTACTCAGGTTGTCAGCATCATCATCATCGTCATCTGGTTTTAAAACAGGAACTACCTCTCCCAAGAGACTAGAAGTGCACATCATAAATGTTGGCTCCCCTGTGTTACTAGTTTGAGAGTCCTGCAGTCTAACATAAACCCAAAGGCAGAAGTTCTGAACATAATTCCTGTTTTGTGTGATGATCCATTGTCGAATGAAAAAATAACATCCCCCTCCCCACATATGGTATTTGTTGATTGAGAAAATCCATGAAGACAAAGGGCTACTTTGAGTACAATAATTCTTTTAAATTAGTCCATATTTCATTTAATCATAGCAACATCTATTTGCAGGACATACGTGCAGAAATTATCTAGTCTATAAAAAAACAGGTGAAGCCCATGTGGATTTTCACGTGCTTGTGTTAGGTTAAATAAGGGTCAGCCAACTGCAGCCCACAGGCGACATCCAGCCCATGAGCTAAGACTGGTTTTTACATTTGAACATTGTGGTGATAGGAAACGCTAACATTGAACCTAAATTAAGCAAAATGTTATGTCCCTCCCCAAAGAAGAATTCTGTTTTTTTTCAATAGTAGACCAATAGTACAAAAAATTGTACTCTATTCTCATACTTTAAATTCAGTCAATAAAAGTTTGTGGAAATTATTTTATAAGTACCTATAGAAAGTATCTAGAATATCTTCAGTTTTGCTTCTTGGCCCCTAAAACCTAAATTTTATTATCTGACCCTTCACAGAAAAAGTTCGCTGACCCCTGTGTTTGGTCCAAAACCCCCAGGGATCCACATCTCACAGGTTAGAGGCAGCTGCCCAGGCAGCTCTCATCACTCTGGGACAGGCTGATGAATGTCAGGCATCTGGACGTCCCTGGGAGAGGCTTTCTCATGGATGTGGGTGGGGGATGGGCAGGATGGGGCTGCATAGCCACTTTTTTGCCATAGAACCCACAAACTGGTTGCTAACGTTTGGGAAGACTTTCCTTACTCCTCCTGGATTTTTTAGCTAACTAGCTTTCGAGAAGAGAAAAAAGATATACAGTTGTTCTGTGATTTTAAGCATTTTCTAACTACCCACTGAAGCTCATGAATATCGGAGTCCTGAACACACAGGAGCTTCTTTGGGCCACCTGTGGGAACAGCATTACTTGTAAACACACTGAGCTTGACAGGGAAAAGAACCTGACAACAAAATGAGAGCAGGTGGTCAGAGGCTCTTCAGGCGAAGCTCTCCCGACCTTGCGTATCTGTTTTCCTTTTCAGATCCATTCAGGAGCAGAGCAAGGCAGGGCTGTCAGCCCAAGGTGTCCTTGAGCTCCCCTGTCCAGGCAAACTTGCTCACTGACCTTCTCAGCACAATCAAGATGATTGTTCCACATCCACCCCCCAGCTCCCCCAGAGCCTCCTCCAGTGCCCGCTCACACCACCTCACCCTGCCACATCCCACAGTCTCTGTAATTGATTTCTCTTCCTCTCTGGTTTAACCCAGAGCCACCTCCACAAACCTCCAATAACCAGGTCCCTATGGGTCGCAGGAGATGTTCAGGTTGTCTGACAACTTAATTAGATCACTTTCTGATGACAGCCAGGCCTGCTGCTATGGGTGAGCCAGGGTGAAAGGCTTAAGGCCTTAGAGAAAGGTGACACGAAATGTTCTTTCTCTGCCTTATAAACATTTGTTTGATAACTGTACAATTTCTGTCCTTCATGATGGGAAAGATCTTCGTCTGCTCCCCCCATGGCATCTTCTCTGCACACCAGTGATATGTGCAAAGACCTTATAGTTACAGGATCCAGGCTGCTTTGCCTGTGTGCCTTTTCAAAATTAAATTTCATTTATTCTTTTGATTAAGTAATACATGCACATAATGCAAACTTCAGAAGTTACAAAAGGTTACTTGGTGATAAATCAGTCTCCCTCCCACCCCTGTCGCTGAGCTTAAAGTGTCATTTTCTTTATGCTGCTAACCTGCACTGTCTGACCTTGCCTTGGTGTTTCCAATTATGAAACTCCTGTATTGTTTGCATCTGACATTATTGGTTTTTTAATGGGCCTTTTTTTTCAGATGGTTGAATAAGAATGGGATTCAAGAAGTGCACAATTGTGCATTCAATGGAACCCAACTAGATGAGCTGTAAGTAGCCCTGACTATTCTTCCAGGCTATTTAGAGGGAAATAGCTCTTACAGCGGCAATATTCATGTGGCTTTGTGTTTCCCTTCTTCTTTCCTCAACTCCATCCCCAGGAATCTAAGTGATAACAATAATTTGGAAGAATTGCCTAATGATGTTTTCCAGGGAGCCTCTGGACCAGTCATCCTGTGAGTAGTTTCCCCATTTCTGCATATAAGAGCTCACTTTGTGTAAGTTAGAAGTCAACTCTCTCCAGCTAAGAGAAGCTTCCAAGACAGGGCCAGCAATCAAGATTGATTTTTATTCATGTCATCTGCAAAGATTTATAGGGACAATTTAAGGCCGATCCACAGTCTAACTTTCAATAAAATTGCAACGATAATAATGGCATGTAATGGTGGTAGGAGCTATTGTTATTCCCATTTTAGAGAAGGAAAAACTGACTTCCCTGGAGGGATTAATTAACTCGCTGAAGGTCGTGCAAGTTTTACAGCAGGGATTTAAAGCCAGGCTGGTCTGATTCATGGTACAGACTCATGACCACTCTGCTCTATGTCTCTTCCCCAGAAGGAAAAGCACAATTCTCTTTCCTCACCCTCAACACCCAGGGGTTTCCTTCAACCCAGTGAAACCCACATACACATTATTTTTGGATCCTCTTTCCAGATCCCTTCAGATGCCTTCAGTGCCTCGTAGCCCCGCATCAGCACTCCTCCTCCTGTGTCACTTCCCCACCTCGTCTTTCCCTCCAAAAGTGACTTTCCCCTCTTTTCATCTTTGCTGCCCCTCTCATCAAGGATCATCCCAAGTCCCACCTCCTCTTCAAGTCTCTCTGACAGCCTCAGCCATCAGTGACTCCTTCCTGGGACTGCAATAGCCTTTATGGCTTGGTGGGGGAGGGGGGCAATCTGCATCATGATTACCAAAGGGCTTTTTTTAAATGTGTGTTCGTGAGCACTAAGAAAGACCTACTGAAGAATGGACTTTAGGAAGAAGAAAGGAACCCAGAAGAAAGAAATGAGATGAAAGAAGAGATTGTGAGCAAAGAAATAGATAAACATGTGACTAAATCTAAAGCTTTACTAGATGATCCTCATGCAGCCTGCAGAAGGTCAATTTAGGCATTTGGGAGCCACTCGCCGGCACCACTTATTGGCAGTCAGCATAGGTTACCACCTGTGGTTATCTGTCTACCTACCAACTATCTATCAACGTCCCTTTTGTTTTCACCAAATAGCTTATATTCTCCTTCAAGCTGGAACCTATGTCTCTAGGGTTCGACCCTGTATGGTACAGCAGGAGCTCCATAAATGTTTATCATTGATAATAAAGGGTGTGTTGTCCCATACATGGGACTTTGCCCCTTTAAAGAAAGAAATGTATGCTTTAAAGTAGATTGGTCATCCTGACCAAATCGAAAGATTATGCCAGAATGCCTGGCTTGAGACAGGAAACACAAGCAAAAGGAGTTAGTACGGGCATAATTCAAGCAAAGGTGCCAGAGCAGACTGCCTTGGCTTAAAACCAGTCCCTTTACCTCTCTAAGCCTTGGTTTTCCTCACCTAGAAATGGCAAAAACAATAATACCTATGTCCTAGTATTGTTCAAAGCTTAAAATATATACATATAGATATACGTACATGTTTTCACTCTTGAAATAGATTTTAAACAGCAGCCCTGTGCCATGCCCTATGTATAGTGCAGGGAACAAAAGAAAGTTCCTCATCACGGAAAGCACATATTCTTGCTGGGGGGGGTGGAATGGAAGTCAGACCATCATTAAATATGCAGCTTAATATAACAGGTCATGATATGAACTGTGAAGTACAAGGTAGGACACAAGCCTAACAAATGGAGAGTGCCAGGCATATAGTCCAAGTGCTCAAGCACAGAAAAGTACTTAGAATTTGTAGCACTTAATGAATGTTCTTACAGTACTTGAGAGACAAGTGGACTTAGACAAAGCACCTTTGAAGTCTTTGACCCCCAGGACAGCAGTTTATCTATTTCACTAAAAATCCTAAGTTTTGAATGTCCCTAAACAGGCACTTCTATCATTCATGATAGAATATGCCAGTGATGAGGTATGTTTTCAAGTGTGACCTATTGAATCTACAGCACCTCAACCCACCACCCACTCCTGAGAATATTTAAGCTGGACAGGATCTCCAACTAATTCATTATTCAGCTGAGGAAACCAAGGTCAGAAAAGGGAAGCAACCCATTAAAGATCACACTACCTCTGTAAGCATCAGAGCTTGGACCACAAACTAGGTCTTCTGCCTCACATTCCATGTGCTCCCACCAAGTCTTGTTGCCATAAATACATTTAACCAAGCATCTAAAAGTTATTCATAAGGCCCCTGAAACTGGTTGTGAAGTGAAATAAAGGGGAAAATAATTCTTAACATCAGCTCTTCAGCCTAAGAACACCAGTCAGTGAAATGTAAACACAGCGCAGAATAACATCTCCTGAGGTTGCATAAGAAGGTTCCAGGCTGAGGCACTGTACAATGAACCTCATAAGCATATTTAACAGAGAGCACAAAATTCGAATACCCCAGACACCCCTGCTGAGAATGCAGGCAAGAAGAGGAATGTCCCCATCAGGAGCTGTTCTACAGGGCCTTTGAGGTACAGCCCCATTGTTTCATCCCTTTTACCACAGGAACATATCTGGCCAGGATTAAGTGAATAAAATTTACAGAAAATCCAATGGGGGCCGGCCCGGTGGCGCACTGCTACAGTGCGCCGCTTGGGAGCGCGGTGGTGCTCCTGCCGAGGGTTCAGATCCCACATACAGACCGGTTCCGGCTCACTGGCTGAGCGAGGTGTGGGAGCAACACCGAGGGTTGCGATCAAGTTGCCGGTCCTGGTCCGGTACAGGTGTGACACTGAGAGTTGCGATCCATTGCCGGACACGAAAAAAGACAAAAAGGAAAAAAAAAAAAAGTTGCCGGTCCTGGTCCGGTACAGGTGTGACACTGAGGGTTGCGATCCGTTGCCGGACACAAAAAAAGACAAAAAGGAAAAAAAAAAAAATCCAATGGAATTATGAAGCACTTGCCCATGACTTAAAAGGGGAGAGAGTGGGGCCGAGCCCATGGCGCACTCGGGAGAGTGCGGGGCTGGGAGTGCAGCAGCGCTCCCGCCGCGGGTTCGGATCCTATATAGGGATGCCCAGTGCATTCACTGGCTGAGCGCGGTGCGGCCAGTCTCAAAAAGGACAAAAAAAAAAAAAAAAGAAAAAGGGGAGAGAGTGATAACACATTCCTACATCTTTTCCTCTGAATGCATGAGGATCTATGTGCAAGATCCTGGCTGAAAACCCAGCCTGAAATTGCTAGTTTCCTTCTCCTCCAGGGCCAAAAGGATTGATCACCTTAACATTGAGCCTCCCTTTCTGAGGCTTTCAGGTTAGTCCAAAGATGTCTTCAAGCCTCTCTGCCTGCTGACCTGTGATGCAAGCAGATGAATGGCCTATCCCATTTCCCACTTGTGCAACCTGATGCACCAACCCAGCTAAACCCTGGCCTGAGAGTGGCTTGTGCAGATGTGCAGAGGAGCAGCCAACTGAGGTGCTACAAGTTGATGGGCAGAAGTAGGAGCATGTGCAGACTGCTCAGCCCACAGTAGATGCTGCTCAGGCTAAGGCTGTGACTGTGCCTTAGGTCAGATTGCCCTCCCACTCCCTCCTCCAAAAAAAAAAAAATAAGACTGCGATACAGATACTTGCATGTGGGAGGTATAAGGGTGCTCTTGGAGTATATGGGGAATGCTTGATGGAAGCAAAATCAGGCCAAGAGGGTAATTGAACTGTTGCAACAGAAGGCTCAGCTGATCCCATGGGGAGCTCTGTAGTTAAGGTGGGCCTCCAAAATTGTACTGAATTAAGGCAAGGGGTCAGACCTCTACATCAACAGTCATTGGGTACAGGCTGTCCCTGGGGAGGAGTCAAATCTTGGGTAAGTCAGCAGAGGGAATTCCCAGAGCAGAACTCAGGTATGAGCCACCTCAGTGGTTCTCAACTACCCTAGAGCAAGGTTCCAAGTTTACTTGTACTTCAAAGTCACCTGGGGAGGGCTTGTAAAACCTTAGATTGCTGATCCCCACCCCCAGAATTTTTGACTCAGCAGGTCAGGGCTGGGGCCTGAGAACAACTCCCAGTGAAGCTGATACTCCTGAGAACCAATGTTGAGAATTGGGAAGCCTTGCCCAGTCTCCTCCTTCTATCTACTCCACAAGCTAGCTGTGGTAAATCTTCTCCCCCACAGGCCGTCTTTGTCCCCAGTAGGTATATGCAAGGGATTCTAAGGGAGTTAAAAGGAATGCACCCATATCGATTAATAGCTCCTTTCCTGAAGGCAAAATTTCTCATTGATTGAAGAACAGGGAATCTCTGAACACCTGAGGGTGCAAGGGTGAGCTGTTCCATTGCAAGAGAAACAGATAAAAGGAAAGCCAGGGGCACACAGATCATCAAGTTCCAGAAGAGAAGCCTAGCATCCTTATTTCCCCCTCATGAGTCTTGATCTTGAACATCAGCAGCCATCTGAGTTTTCACCTGATATTCTGAACTCACTCAAGTTCTTTTTTTTTTTTTTTAAGCAATTGAGCAATTGCTGTTTCCTTGGGAAACAGTTTCCTGTGGGGAAAATTTAATGCATTGCCTTTGCAGGCTGGAGCCAGTACAATCATACTCTGATGGTTTATCAAATTGATTTGGCTATACCTCAGATTCATTTGATAGTTCAGATTCAAACACTGAGTTATTTGTATAAGAATGATTCTCCTCCATTACCAGTGTACCCACAGTCCTATAGATAGTAAATTGCCTTTTTATCCCGCCTGGGATCATGAAAGAGAGGTCTTCTAACCATCTGTCAGTGTAGTATACACCAGAAATGTGCTCTCACTTATGGAAATGATTGACCTGTAATAACATCTATGCTGGGAAAAATAGAAATTGTTCAAATCAAATTTGTGGCACTGGCTATAACACACTTTATTAAATGGGGCACGGAGCACTATTTAACTCCTGCCTCTCCTGACTCAGCGACATATTACCAACTGCTATATCTCTTGCCACTCTATCTCAATACCAAAAATCCTAACAATATTGAAGCAATTTAGGATTACTAAATCTATTCAGTGCCAGCCATCATCCAATGGTGTCTCTGTCGGTACT